CCAAAAACAAAAAATAATTTCGATCGAATTTAATGTTTTCATACAAAACAAATAGCGTACAGTCAAATACTGGCTGTAGTTCACGCGAGTAGTACACATTTAAATAGAACACTTTAACGGTTTAAAACGCGATATATTTTAGTTAAACTTGTTTGTGAATTATTGTTAACTACGACCCGATGTGTCGGATGCTTTGCAGCCGCCGTGGTCACGGGGAGACTCCCGTGTTTCGTTTTTAAGAATGTATTTTCTCTAAGAATACACATATTGACTTTATATTGAAACAATAATAATGTAACTTAAATGTGTCTACATACATCGGTACTGTAATTAAACGAAACGGTGATATATATACAAAAAATATTCATTGTTTAACTTAAGATCTAATATACTGCAATTTAATATTTTTTTAACTGTTAATTGGGCGTTTTTTATACTTCCTTAGGTTTGCTTTTAACCGTTTAAAAGGCGAAATATATTAGTTTACCTATTTTTATTTAGTCTTATTAAGTTTTATTTAAATAATTAATCGATCATTGGCTAGAACTAAGTATCGTGACAAGTATGCCCATGGAATTTGCTTTAACTGTCCTAAGTATCGACTGGACCATTGGGAATTAGCCGAGGCGGAAGTTGGGTTATCGGATTTTAATTATTAATTTAGGTGTGGCCCAGTTCACTAGTTGCTAATATATTAGAACCTTATTTAAACATGTAGCTCTGCCTTATTTTATATAAGAACAATTTTGGTCTGCACACTCAATTTTCAATATAAAGTGTATTTTTTTCTAACTGGGCATTATTGGTAAACAAATACACAACTTACATGAAATCGTGATTTTCTTACAAGGTATACATTGATTTACAGTAAAAACACTCAGTCATGGTTATTATATATTACAGCAACGAACTACCTTACATTAACTAAAGACGAAATTTAAACAAACTTAACGACAATCGTTTTTTATTAGTGTGTAATCTGTGGCAACAACTTCACTCTATAAAAGGTCATCACTAGTTGTCTATGGTTTAAAATCGGCCATATTCGCTGTAGTCTTTTGCCAATTTAGCAAAAATGCACTATAGGGATTTCACACAAGCGTGTATACAACATAAATTCTTCAAACGCGGCAAATGAATTCGTGAATTCTATCCCTGATTTTACAGCTTGGTTAAGTAAAAAGGTCTTCAGTGTGAACTAGTTTCAAACAATTGATTGGGCCTAGGGACGTGACGAGATTACCAGAACTTGCCGACGTGGTAACAAATACCTCGAGGAAATTACCTCGTCAGGAAGGCCTGTTTGAAGACTTCTCTACATCAAGCCAATATCGAGAGATTATAATATTTATTTGGCATAAAAGTTGAGTAAGTCAATATTTTTTATAAATTTAGCTTCAAACTTGGTTTGTGATGGCATTTCTTGTTCTGATCTGATATTATATCTTACACATAAACCTATATACAATAAAAGCTTTAAGTCGCTTATTTTTCCATATCAATGTTATTTACCAAACGGAATTACTGAAATCGCTGATGGATCCAACTGTCGCGAGTCGAAAATGAAATTTCACATCGACCTTAAATTAGCGACCATAAGTTAACATTCAATAAAAACATTTTTACTTTAAAAATGGTACCCCTGATGGTACTGATAACACCTAATACATTTTTAAATAAAATACTTTAACGGTTTATAACGCGATATATTTTACTTAAACTTATTGTAACTATGAGCTAACGTTTCGGATACTTTGCAGTAGGTGTGGTCGTGGGGAGAGCGTCAAAGTGTTTTATTGAAATGTGTACTACTCGCGCAAATGACAGCCAGTATTTAATTAACCTACTCTCACATTGCATGTTCCTCAAGTTAGGAAGCCAGATAAACGTTTTTACAGTTGTATCAGCTCACACGTCGTACGGTGCGTCGAAGCACTTACAATATAGTACGGCTATAGAACTTTTTTTATGATTCAGGACAGACAAACACGGGGCTCACTTGATGGTAGGTGAAATACCACAGCCATATAACATCTAAACAAGATGGGTTGTTGACCTACTTTGGCTTTGGATATTCGAAAAACCGCAGACTAAAACCAAAACGCGATTAAACCAGACGAATTTTTCGTCTGTTCTATGAACCATCTGATGGTGGTTCGTGACCCGGATGGAATTTCGATTTACCATCCATTTAATATCCAGATCTCCAGATATGTTTCAGAAAAATTATAAATTGATTCGAATCCCCTAAGGCCCGTTGGGGATAGAACCCACGTAGCCATACATTGCTACCACTACAGCTACGAGTAACTACGTATAAGTATATAGGTATAACATGAAGTTCGCAATTCAATTTATATAATGTTTATGATACTGTCAGAACTAGTTGTGGTTATTGAGCTCCTTTGAAAATCGTACATATTTAATTACGTAAGCCTATCTATACTAACATATAAAGCTGAAGAGTTTGTTTGTTGTTTGAACAGGCTAATCACAAAACTACGGGTTCAAATTGAAAATTTAATTTTGTATTTGTTAGAGGATTTATCGAAAAAGGCTATAAAACATCGCATTGTAAATAATAAAAGACAAAGACAAAGCGGGAAATGTGGTAAAACTGGGGAAAGTTGTTCATTTTTGTGGGCTGCAAAACGGTTCAAAATACCCAAAAAATATGTACGAGAATGATTCCTCTTTACATGATCTACAAAAATGTCCGCGACACTCTATGTCTATCTGGCAAGAACAACGGGACGCAAACGACGTCGTAGGTTAATAGTAAGAAGTCTTAAATTTATAAAAATTACTATTCTACTCAAACAAAGTCGCAAACACAGCATAAAGCACAATCACATTGTAAGTTACAACTGAAGCAGATATAATTAGAAGAATTATGCAAAGAACTGCTCATCAAAACCCTTTGAACCATTTCCTTGAGGCTTAACAATGAAATCAAAGAGCCAATTAATTTCCTGCCTTCGGGACTATCCTTAATCAAAGCAATGAAATTCCTATGAATACACGGAAACGTTTTAAAGTCAAGCAAAGTCTATTGTAGTACGTTTAATGCCCAACAGTATCTAGCAAAACAATTTGAAGGGGAATTCACTTGTTTCAATCTAAGTCCCACAGTTGGGCATAGGTCTCTTCTTTCATAGAAGAGCTTAAAATGGCCCACCACGTCGTTGTGGTGCGCGAGTAATTTCGTGATGACAACTGATCGGCGATAATACATTATTATTTCAAATCCCGGTTTGAAATTAGTAGTACACTTTTCCGTTTCGATTTTTTAAAATTAATCTATAATGACGTGCATCTGAAAAAGAATATAACATGAATGTATTAACCGTGAATTACTTCTGCTCTTAATCTGTGCCTTCTACCACTATATTTGATAACTGTGACTTTAATTTATTTTTCATGTAATGCAAAGCTGGCCACTAAAATAGTACTCTCCAATCCTTTTTATCACGATTCTATTTCTACGCACGTACTAAATTAACTAGATTTCATTTCGGTGGTAGAAACATGCTTGGTGCCAACTTTGTCTGAATACAAATCGGGTGAATATTGCTAATTTGACAAACCCCGAAATGGATAGCCACTGAATAGATAGAACAAGATATAGAACTAGTATTCTAATTCCGTCATTACTATTAATAGGTTTTCGAAAATCGTTAAATATCAGTCTAAATAAATATAATTTTCTTTGGATTTTAAGAAAGTTTGACTAGACTGAATTCGGAAATAAATGTAGTTTAATATGGGACAAGAAGAAACGATTATTATCAAAACTAATATTAGTACATAACAACAATTGTCATCGTCAAATTTCAAATTGTTATAAGCCTAAAATTATAAATACGTTATTAAAGTAAATCCCCCTTTTAGCCACGTTAGGTGTAGCCAGACATAATTTAGAGCCCGGTTTACCATATTTAGTTAAAGGGAAGTAACTAGTAAAGATCATTTATTACTCCTGAAAATGCTGTTGTTTCTGGGGAATTCATACCTAGGACCTCATACACTTAGCCATTCAGGTAAGGAGAAATAAATGAAGAATAACATTGTAATAAAACTAATATCCAACCCTAAAGCTATATAAAGCTACTGACTTAATTTAACAATGTTACATTAATTTAATTTATACTATAAATTGTCAGCTTTACCCAAATAAGCCACTGATTAAGCAAAAAGGCAGCAAGAAAACAAACTAAAAAGTTGTTTTGCATTGCGATCACGTAGATAACGTCCCGAATGTTTTCCTGTTTACCCTTTCAAGTTTTCACCTCCCGTCAGTGTTGACATGTTAATTAAATCAGTGTCGAACATTTTTATTTATTGCCGTGGCCAGTTAAATCGGCGAAACGAAGGATAAGCTGTAATTTATAGGCCCACTTTTTGGTATTTTTACGCAGTCACTGATATAAAGTGAAAACAATAATTCTTCGGTGTAAACATTCTATTTATAAAAATGAAGGTTGTTAGAATGTTTTTTACTATTTCACGACCAAAACGATATTTAAAAAAATGCTGTTACTTCAATTGCAACTTAAAATAACATCATATTATTTATTGCGGGAAATTCGAATATTCTAGTTTTCTATAAGACTGTCTTGATGAAAAATATAGAAAAGCATAGAAAACATTATATATATTTAATAAATAAACATAACATATTCTATAAGATAATCTCAATCTATTTATTACGTACAAATTTCTTCCGAATATTTAAATATGAATAATAATTCGTTGTAAAACTACTTAATTAACAAAACAATAAGATATTTTGTTTGAAATACTGATGCTATACATAAACTTAGTAAACTAAATACATTACTTATTCATTAAAAGTCTCTGAGATAATATCCCTAAAACTAACTAACTAAAAATAACTACTTCGAACTATTCTAAATATACACATAAATAGACCTATTACGATATATGATTCTTTTATAACTTAGAAAAATATAACATGTTATTTGAAAATTATAATGATATCAATGCACAGAAATGGTTTCTACCTCAATAACATGTCGATGCCTCCTTCTTTTATGAATACCATCAAATTCGTTATGGATATCTTCTAACGTTCGCCCTTTAGTTTCAGGAACGAAAAAATATATAAAAATTGTCCCAATCAAGCATGTTACTGCGAAATGCCACAACGTCCAGCCAGGACTCACCAGGTGAACTAAATTCTGGTATAATTTCGTAACTCCAAAGGCTAAGAACCAATGGACACCAGCTGTGATTGCGGTCGCTCGCCGTCTTACATTTGGAGCGAATATCTCTCGGAGCATTAACCAGGGAATCGATCCTGCACCAACAGCGTACACAGAAACAAAAAGACATAAAGAAGATAGAGGCACCCAAGTATTGTGAGCCGATAAATTCGAAGCTTTCAAATGATAGAACATAGCCAATGTTCCTAAGCTAAGTGCCATTAAAGTAAATGATATCAATAATAACACTCGCCGTCTAACTTTCTTCAAAAACATCGTTGAAAAATACGTCGCTGTCACAAAGCAAAAGCCAAGAATGATAGTGGCACTGGGTGGATTTAGAGAGATCGCGAAATTTTTAAAGATCCTTTCAGCGTAGAATAGTATTGGGTAGATACCACTCATTTGCTGAAAAAACATCAAGCCAAACGATACAACTAATGGCTTCACAGTTGTTCTAGTGGTAAAAAGTTGTCTGAATGTCACTTTATTTTTTCCATAATTCCTGACGTATTCTTTCAATTCTTTCACTTCATCTTCGATGTCATTGTCTATTCCTCTAAAGTATCGTAAGGCGGCCTTGGCTTCTGAAAACTTCCCCTGCGATATAAGATATGCTGGTGATTCAGGGAGGAAGATAAATCCAATGAAGAAGGAGATAGGTATACTTGCACAGAGAACTGCCAACCACGACGTATTCTGAACCAATCCTGAAAAAAGAAGCATTTTCATATGAGGTTAATGAGATAACTTCTGCTCGTGCTTTTAATTAAGACTTAAGATTAAGATAGACTTACCGATTATATACCCAAACAGAATACCACACGCAAAGTGAACATGGTAAAAGTTGGCCAGTGCTGGCAGAATCTGTTTCTCAGCTATATCCTCTACATAAGGTGGTATGGCGACGCTGAAGGCTCCAACAGCTATACCGCTCACAAATCGACCCACGTATAGACCATATACGTTTGGACTGCAAGCAAAAATTTGGTTACATCTACTATTAAGGGGCCCAGCTTCTTTTGTCAAGATTTATTTATACCTTCACATATCTTATTGCTGATGATGCTATAATTATTCCAGGCGTGTATATCAACATACCTGGAAGCGACAAGTATCCAAGAAACCACTAGCGGAAGAGCTAAATACAATAAAGTCTTCTTTCTCCCAAAGTATTCAGATATAAGACCAGATGGAACCGCTCCGAATAACGCTCCCAAACATAGCAGCGATGCCACCCATGAAGCGTCTGTTTCTGTAAGCTACAAAAAACATGAATATTACTTTATAGGTTTAAGTAAACAAATTAAGCTATTTTTATGTCTGTATCTCACCATAATTTTCGTATGAGTTCCATTTGCTGGTGCAAGCGTTTCCGTTGATCTTGTAGATTGTGACTGAAAAAAATTGAGAGAGTTGACTACAAATTTAAACAATACAATGTGAAGCGTCAATCGTCATTTTGTATGGACTACACAAAAAAAAACTATTTGCTTAGCCAAATGCTTAAAATCTATACTAATATTATAAAACTGAAAAGATTCTTTGTCAGATCGCGGTAATCTCAGGAACCACTAGATCGAATTGAAAGATGTTGGTACAACTAACAATAGTATCATAAACTTGACGGATTCCGTTTCGTGCAGTGCGAAAACTGTTCGAAACAGTGAATAAATATGTATAAAAAATATTCTAGCCACTAGGGGTCTATCTTTTAAGGTTAACTCGAAACATTTTTATGGTAATCGAATTTTGTCGAAATAAAGCATATGACAAAATAACGTTTGCCAGGTCGGCTAGTTAATAAATAAAACTGTGTTACTGTGTGTCAAGCCGTGTGTGTCTGCCCACACGGCTTGAAAATGATTAAATAATTACATGATCGAACCGGACGGTGGAAACTCAGAAAGGATTCGATTAATCCTAATAGTTGTTGCATAGTTTAATTAATACTGCGACATACATTTCGAGCATCCTCAAAACTTAGGCAACCGAGGGTCCAACTAGGATTAAAGGATTATGAAGACCCAAAACTTTAAATTGTTAAGTGCATTCTAAGACGTATTTGCACATTCAAACCCCTTAAAGATTCACCAAAGATACAAATTACAAAGTTAATAATCACAAACTTAACATCGCTCTTAGATGTTCTATGTCTTGAACATCTCAGACGAAGTTCTAGAAGTCTTGTTGTTCAGAAGTACTTTCTAATCGGGTAATGGAATAACTCTCAATTCTTGTAAGCGGGGCACAAAACTGTTTATGATGCTATTAATAAAAACGTTTTAATATTTCATAGCTGACAGCCATATTTATTCGCTCGAGAAACTTTATAAACCGTGGAACGCATTTAAGGGCTTTGCAACTTTTTAGACCGCGCGAAATTAAAATGGCAAGTTATGCATACGAACGCGGGTTGTAATTATATCCGTAAATTTTGAAGTTTAGGTGAGAGATTAGAACGTTTGTTAGTTCTCAGCTAATGACTAGCAAACGATTATGATAAAAATGATTATATAAACTTTGTTGACTTTTCTGTTTTCTTTTGCGTTTTGTGTTTGGGTTCACTTGCTAATAAAGTAAAATGCGCTGTCGACCTTTTTGGGCTTTGGATATTTGGAAATCCACGGACTTGAAACTGAGACGGGATTAAATTTCACGGCTTTTTTATCTGAATTGCGATATTTCTGCCTCACAAGTCCAATATGTTTCAGAAAAATTATAAATTGATTAGAACCACGTTCGACTTGATCACCATTATCATCACTTATGAGTATTAGCCATAGATTGCTACGATAACAAGTAATAAATATTAAATAAAATAAATAAAAGTAAAGTTGAATTTAAAACTATGTTCTCTTAATTACACTAGCCATCAATAAACATTCTTTCGTTTGTACGGCCTGGTCAAAAAGACGTAGCGAACTTATGTGAGATTTTGTAGCTCGTTCTTTATGGCGATGTGCGTGACTATACTAGTGCATATATACAAGTTTTTAGACTGATTTGGCATCGGTGTGTTTTGAGGCCACGCTTAATAAAACACGAAAATAACTTGAATTATATACGTAAAAATATTTACCTCATAAAATCCCGTAATCATCATGGGCAAAGCTGAGGATGTCCAAGCAACACATACTCCGGACGCAAAGGCACCAAGGTTTACTGAAATAGGGTATACATATTATAAATACACTAAAGTTATACACTAATAATAGTAAATAACGGTTCGATCCGCACCGGGTCGCACATTTTAATTTATAATTTTCCTGAAACTTGTTAAACTTCGTCTGGAAATCTGGATATTAAGTGGGTGGTAGGAATATCGAAATTCTGTCCGGGTCAAGAACCACTGTTCGCAGATGAAAAAGCCGTGAAGGTTCATTACATTTCGGTTGCAGTCTGTGAATTTCCAAATATCCTAAGCCAAAATAGGTCGATAGCGCATCTTGTTTCGATGCTATATGCTGGGTTCTTTCATCTACCATCTAGTAAACCCTATCCTTGTCTGTCCTCCCCTATCATTAAAATATAAAGACTAAGTTGAGTAAAGAAACGTTTATAAAACACAAAGAATAACAATTTAGCATTCGTGAATTCGATAAATAGTAATTTATTAAAACTTAAATAAAACACTTTAACGGTTTAAAACGCGATATATTAGTTAAACTTATTTGTAAATGATTTTTAATTTCGGCCCTCGCGTAAACTATAGACAGTATTCTAATAAAACTAACCAATCCCAGTAGCAATGTATTGTGTTGTGATTCCAGATGTGTCCCTCTTTATGTCAGGAACTGTCTCCAAGCGTTTGAGAATTTTCGAATTGCCATTTTTGTCTTCGGCGTGTGAGCCGCTCGCTTCGGAGTCATTTGGAGTAAGTTCTTCCACTGTAACAAACGAGGTCATAAATTATTTTTAAGAAATATGTTATACATAAAAGAAAAGACATTCAAAGCTGATGTTAAATTAAGTTTAAAACATGCATGTGTACCTAGTTACTAAGCGTTATTAAATAAATAATTTTCTAAGGACTAAAACTCTATTTAGATTGAAAAAAATACAACATGGGCGGGACTTAAACCGGCATCAACAGCATTCCATGCTGCTCTAATAATGCTCTAACCAATAGTTCTAATGACTGTTTCAAATCAAAAATCGGCTGTAAACTACCTATGTGCTAATCAACCTGTCCTGTAATTTTTATTTAATCGTTTTCAAAACACAACGATAAAAGATAAAAGCTATTTTTATATTACTTAAACACACCGACCATGTACTTATTACGTAATCGAAGAAATGTGTTTACTCACCCACACAACAATATTTGTGTAACCCCTGACCTACCTTACCTAATCAAGTGGTTATAAGTCCGTACTTTATCGATGTTATTTTTCTCTTAATTAATATAAAAATCAATTCGTGTGCAATTGCATGAGGCGATTGATTACAAATTTATCAAAGAATTCAGGTCATGTATGCAATAAATTAGAGGACAAATTTTACTAAAAAAAATATATATAAATATAAGACAGTTATGGGCATTGAACCCAGAACTAGGCGATGGCTAATTCGACGCACTAACCACTGACCTACTGTAATGTTATTTATTGCACGCTCATGCCACAATTAATCAACAAATTACCTAGCGGTCTAGAAACGAAGGTAGCAATGTATGGTTAAAAATAAAAAGGTCGTCGGTTCGATCCCCACCGGGTCTAATGTATCTAAGCACTATATAATTTTTCAGAAACACGTTGAACCTTGTCTGAAAATCTGGATATCAAATGGGTGGTAAGAATTTCTTTCAGTCTTGTGTTACGATACACCATCTACCGATGAATAAGCTGTGAAGCCCATAATTGTCTATCATAAAAAATAATGTTATAAACTCATAACTTATTATATCTACTCGTAGACATACACATTTGTTTAGTCAGACTCGTGCGTTTATTAATTTATAATATTCGCACTGTCAAGCATTGGTTCGAATTAAAAAATTAAGTGTCGGTTCAGGCTCAAAGCTTTAAAACATCAGACTGCAACCTAGGAGCAAAAAAACAGAGGGAAATGTAAAAAATACCCAAAAAATCATTCATCCTTGAGCGTTTTGAAAACGCACACTTCCTTATTCTACAAAGTGTCCATGACAATATATCTTTCATCCGAAACGTCGGGCCGTAGTTAAAAATTTTCACACAAGTTAAACTAAAATATATCCTGTTTTAAACCGTTAAAGTGTCTTATTTAAATTAATATAACGTTGTTAAAAAGTGAATTTTATACCTATACTTTAAAAATAGTAAATAATTAAACTTACTAACAAAATAGCAATAATCAATTAACGAATTAATTTATCACAACAAGCGTAACCTGATCTTCGTACATTTAAGTCGAATCTACTCAACTTTTCCAAGTCTGGGAATATCTCTTGAACTCTCGATCATTTCACCTTGATGCGAGTTCGTTGCTGTGTTTAAAACTAATTTACTTATTCGTTGTGATCGTAAGTTATAAAAACGTAAAGGGAATCTTGAAAAGCCCTTCAAAATGTGATTTTAATGAATCTCTACATTTTTGTGCAAAACTCTACGACGAATCTCTACTCTTCATAGAAGCCAAAATTACTCGCTAAAAACAGTTCGTCCTTTATCAAAAAATTACAAACATTTTTTATAATAGTAGACGCAAGCATTGGCCTCACTTGATGATATGAGAAATGCCCAAGACTTTGGATATTCGGATATCCACGGGCTGAAACTGGACGGTGATTCGTGACCCGATCGAAATTTCAATATTCCTACCATCGCTGTAATATCACGATTTTTAGACGAAGTCCAACATGTTTAAAAAAATTATACACTTATTATAGAAATGTTGGACCCGGTGATTATTAGCCATACATTTTTACCATTACACCCAAGGATCCCGTCAAATCATTACCCTTATCTATATACGATACATTGTATTAAAATATTATAGACTCTATTTTCTTTGCTAAAATCATATGCAAAGTATGAAATTACACATGTTTACTTTTGTTCTGAAATTAGCATTCGATTTTTAAAAGTATGCTCAAATACTGTCTATAGTTTACGCGGGTAGTACACATTTCAATAAGTCTCCCCGTGAGCACGGCTGTTGCAAAGAATCCGAAACGTCAGGCCGAAGTTAAAAATCATTTTCAAATAAGTTTAACTAATACATCGTGTTTTAAACCGTTAAAGTGTTTTATTTTAAAGTATTCTCAATTTAAAATAACATCAATCACTAAACAATAAGCTGTAAAATTACTGGAAAATAATATGTTTCTTCAAGTAATGTAGTAACTGCTATGATCATATGATTTTCTTATCAATAATAGACGCCCCACCTTCAAACTTATATAGGACGCTTGAACTTTGAACTGTATCTTGTCAAGAATGTTTGTGTTACAAAAATTATTTAAACACAAAAGAAAACCTTAGGTTAAAGTAACTAAACAACCATTACAATAAATCGACATTAAACTGCTTTTTTACGTGTAGCAAGAGAAATATGTGAATGAAAGACAAAAAGTAAAAAAAAGAACGTCGACGTTTCACTTTTTGGTTCATTCGACCGATACATACAAATGTCTATCCCACGTATTAATTTAACTTAAAGTACACCAGTCCTTTGCCATGCACAACTGAAAGTACTTATTTTTATTTCCCGGGAATCAAACACGGGGACCCTCCAGCTTAACCCATGCTTTATCTGCTGGTCAGACGTAAACTGTTTTAATCTTATCCAAAACCGTTTAATATTACTTTTACTGTCTGATTCAGAATCAGATGGTTTACAGCAGCCGTTTACAATCGCCAAAATTGATATATTAAATGTGTAACATATTATATATACTCTTGTAACATATTTAACATATATAATTAAATACTTTGTTTATAATCACAATTAAAAAACAATTTAACTGATAATTTTTACCGGTCCGAATAAAATGCACTTTTCGGACATTCGTGTTTTGGTTTTTAAACCGGATGTTATCGCGTTATCTTACTTTTGTAAAAAACACTGTATTGACAAACTTTAAAACAAACATCTATCGATTTTTTCTACCCTTTGTAATGAAGGATGAAATCACAATAATAAAATAGAATTAGCAAGCTCTTTGTATATAAATGTCTTGGTGTGGAAAGCAACAATGATAAGGTGTTATATGAAAATAAAAAGTACCCACTCTTTTAAAATTATCCGTGCCACTGATAAAGTACGATATGTTTGTCTGCGTATACGCTTCGTGTTAAACTGCCTCCGAGATTAATCTTGATATCAACAAGGAGGCAGAAGTGCTCAAACGTGGTTCGTACAATCGTTTTATTATCTGAAATATGTGTTCGCTTGGAATTACAATTTTTTAGGGATTTGGTGCGCTTTTGTAACAGGATTATTGTTCTATAGTTTGAAGTTTACTCGAGTAGTATATATATGCATAAATAAATACTTTTAACGGTTTAAAACTCGATATATATTACTTAACCTATTTACAATTGATTTTAACTAGGGCCCGACGCAGGTGGTATTGTAGCCGCCGTGGTCTCTGTCGCACTGAAGATGGATCACCATCCATCAGAGACACCTCTCTAATGTCAAATTAAAATGTAGTTTGTATTTAAATGTGTACTACGCGCGTAAAGTAGTCAGTAGTCATCTAGTCTATCATATATGCTATATCTATATTAATATTTTAAAGAGGAAAGATTTGTAATTTTGGATGTAACGGGTAAACTCAAAAAGTACTGGACCACTTTTAATAATTCTTTTTTCATTAGATTATTATTAGTTTATTCTTAATTTCTCTGATTTAAAGTAAATACCTAAGAATAGTTCCCAAGCGAGATTAGCAAAGTTTGTCGTATTAGAGAGTCTTCTTCCTAAAATGATCATCTGGAAAGTATTATAGTGTACGCGTCCCAATCGCAAGCCAGAGAATCTATCGTTGAATGTTCAGGTTCGTTTTGCAGAACAAAATGCAAGTTCGTCTCGGCGACTTGAAGGAAATAGAGCAATGAATTAGCGAACGCGTGCACGGGACTAACACTGAACGCTCGCAGCGGCTCCTGACACAGCGCAATAGACAAAGGTTGTTAACAGCTAGGACGTGAAGTACATTTTTTTTTCTAATTTGGTGATTCATGGTCGTTTTAATTAGCATGCTTATAATTTTAATATCTGTATTTATTTACTCTACCCGTTTATTACTTCTACCCGTGCGAAGCCGGAACAGGGCCGCTAGTAATGTTAAAGCCTACTAAAATCAATACAGAATGGCGCTATATTGATTGTTCGGGCTATTTAAACTTTGTCGGTAAAGCTCTGATTGTCTACTAAACAAAAATTGATCAGACTGTGAAAGGGACATTTTAGTATGGATTTAATATGTAACTGTATTTCTTAAACATTAAAAACTATTATCTGTAGTTAATCTCCAACCATTTTAATAACTAGGTGACAATTTCTTAAGAGGAGGTAAAAGTATATAAGTATGTTCCTATAGTTCTTTTTGTCGGATGAGAATCGATAAATATGGAGTGATCTTGATGGTAGGTGATGAACCATAGCCATTAAACATTAAAAAAATATAAGATTTTATTTGTCACAAATTAGCGTATCACGTAAATGATTAAAAATAAACTCTGAAACAACATTATGTACCTGCCCTTACTTTTACAATCTACTGAATGCACCGTAGATTGGTGTTGAGAACACCTTGGGTTTGGATGACACGTTCAATTCAATTCGATAGTGTATACACAGCCTAACTTGTACTAAGCAAATAAGGGCTGCACTGTGTATACTTGTTGATTGTGATTGTAATTCAATTTAATTTAAACTGAATTGTGCCAACTGCTATGAAATCTATTTTCGCTTAT